CACCCTGGGGATGCAGGGAAAGGCTCTTCTCATTCATTTTACCAGCACTGCAAGGCTGGGCCACCCTGTGCTTGTATCTGCTCTAACACACAAATTCTTACATACACCATACACTTGACAATTTTTTTCCACAAACCTTGCAGAGGTTAATAAGCAGGAGGGTCAAGGAGGTGCAGGGAAAAAAAAAAAAAAAAGAAATAAAAAGGAATTTGCCTGAGGCAAGGGAACCACAGAAACACAGACAGAAGCTCAAGTCCCTGGTTGCCAGCCCAGCGTTCACTCTCAGCACTGAGATCTCTCTGTGTCCTTGTCCACTGGTACACCTGTGGGATTTTGGGTGGGAGGCATTTTGGGAAGGGTCAGACCTGAGATGCAGGGAGGCAGCCATGGGGAGAATGAGCTGAGGAAAGCTGGGGGAAGAGCCTGTACCTGGTGGCGAGCTGCTCCTCTTGAAATCCATCAAGCTGGGGTGCATCGTCCCCTCGTCCCTTCCTTCCCCTCCCAGCCCAAAGAAAGTCCCTGAAATCCAAGCAGCAAACTGTGCATAGTTAAACTGCAAGGAATGAGTTTATTCCTCCTAGGGAATGGGAAAAAGAAATAAAGTCCCGTGTCAGCAATAGGTAGTGTTTTGTCTTGTAATACCCATGCTCATTCTTGCCCTCTGCGTGAAGCTGAGTGCCACGCTCTGAGGCCTGTGTGAAACTGAAGAGGGGAACTGTGAATTTCCCCTTTCTCCTCCTGCCCAAATCACAGGGATGCAAAGGGAACAAAGCACAGCAGCAAGGAGTGATAGCTGGAGAATCTCTGCTCCCCGTGGCAGATCGGGCTCACAAGCACCTGCCTGGGAGAGGAAACCATCTGCTCTTCTGCTGCCATTTACTTAAGGGCTGGGGGGACTTAACAAAATCCAGTGCAGTGTGTTAAATAACCAATTTTAGCAGGCACCGGGTTTCCCCTGTGGAGCGATGGTGTGGCACCGCAGGTTTACTAGAGGCACTCCAATTCTTGGTGGCAGCAGGCATCTGCTGTCTGATTAAGATTTGCAGGAGCAGGTCTCCAGCGGCCAGTTTCAACATGGATTTAACTTCACCGAGGTCAGAGGTATAACTTGAGGGAGGAACTTTCTCGCCCAAGATCTTTAGTTAATAGCATCCTGCTAATTATGACTGAGTGCCGGGCTGCCGGCGAGTCCCCTGCCAGCGCTCAGGCATTAACCGCTGGCTCGGGGGCCATTTGCTGGGGAATGTCTGGCAGAGATGTGCTTTGTGCCCGAGCTGCTCTGCTGCTCTGCTGCTGCCTGAATTGCCTGAAAGGCTTTAGCACGGAGAGCCTGTGAGAACTGCTGCTGGGAGAGATCTTCATCTCCGCCGCCGCTCAGTCTTTTGTCTGGCTGCGTTGGAAACAGCCAGGATTCCGCCCACCACACATTTTTATATTTTTCAAATGGGTAGGTAGGGGGTCCAAAGAGCTTTAGTTGTCTCTTTGGTGGGTGGTGGTGGCTTGTTTTTCCTTTGTTTCTTTGCATAATTCTCTTTACATGTTGCAGACGTGCACTTTTAGCTCATGAAACTCTATTTACATCCTACTTTGGATGTGCCTTCCTGACCTGAGTTAAATCCTTTCCTCAGTGCAAAATTTTGCCCTTCAAAGTAATTCCTCCAGTGAAAATGATGTAAACTTCCAGATTTAGGTTGCTGAGAGCAGAATTAATCCTCTTGAATTTAAGTTGCTGTTTTACTAGATTCTTAATTCTCAGTTAAATGTGAGGCTGCTAATCTGTGTTTAGGAAAGGTGAGCAGAAAGTACAGAGTCCAAACCTGCAGGTTCATGCAATAAATCTACATGTTATTTGTACAAACAGGTGATTTCTGCACAGATTTAAAACAGACCAAGTAGATGGCATGTATTTCCTACAGTGCATCAGAGAAACCTAAAAAATACATTGCTTGGTTGTGCAAAATTAGCAAAGACCTGAAGTTGCAAACAGTACATTGAAAGACAAGTTTGGTGAGAAGAGTTGGAGAGAAGGAAGGAAAAGAAAGAAGGGAATGAGACAAAAGAAATGGAAATCAGATTCCCTTGCCAGCAAACTGGCTGCATTTTAACTAGAAGGTGCTGTGGTTACAGAGAACTTGAGGGATGTGTAGGTGACTAGAGCAAAAAGCTGTGCTGAAACATTGCAATCACCGCAGGATTGGACCAAGATAATTTTTCTGCTATGTTTCTAATGGAAACTCCAAGCACAACAACAGGAAACCCACACCAGTAAAGAAAGAAAGGAGAATTTAAGGTGGAGAGACACATAAGGTGGCTTACACCTGAAACAAAGCTCCCCCAAAGTGCTATCCCTGCAAGAGGAGGCACTGGGAAAGGAAAGGAGCTGTTGTTTGCTGATCTCGAATAAATGTCAGAAATACAAACACGCGTTTTTGAAGTGTAAAGCAGGAGCTGCTCTCACAAAGGCATCTGTTTGCTGACAAGGCTTGTGACCACAAACGTAGCATTGTCCTTTCCAAAGGCATGAGAGGAGAGACAAAGGAAGCACGGCGTGAAGGAGTAGGCTGGGTTTATTTTTCCACCAATAACACCACTAACAGGACCAGAGGGCATGTTCACAGCACCAGGGCTGGGTGTTACCCTGCTTTCCTGGAGCAGGAGGGAGACAAGAGGCAGAGACTCTCTCTTGGTGCTTGCAGCTGTAAGGAGATGTAAACAGGTACCCAGCAAAAACTGACCCACGTGGCAGAATTACAGTGCAGAGCCCCAAAGGCCTGGCAAAATACAGTCCAGTCAACCCATCAGGAGAGACAAGGACACCCAAATAACTTCCCCTATGTTACCTTTGTACAGATAGAGATGTCTTCAGAATAAAAAAAAAAAAAGGAAAAAAAAATCAAACAACAACTTAAACACCAAAAGAGGGGACAGAGAAAGAAGCAGGTGGCATTCTGCATTTCACATGGATCTGAGCAGCTGCTTGGAAGAATTAATCTGTAAAGGCAAAAGTTTTGCCTTGGGCACTGAAAACATTGCAGTACAGAGAAGCACTGAAAGGCAGTGTTTAAATCTGTACCACTGATGTGGCAGTGCCCTTGCCAGAAAGGTACACGCAACCTATTTGAGGGAGGTGCAAAGCACCAAGCAGATTTGTTCCCACAGCACAAACCAAAAATGATACACGGGGTAGGAGAACAATTTAAAAAAATTAATAAAAAGAGACATATAATCCCCATTTGGATCAAGCAATGTGTCTTAATGTAAGTCTACAAAAGACAAGAAAAACTCTCAGCAACCTGAAATATAAAGAGTTTGTTTTTTAAAGGAGCCTTTCATGAAACAAGGCCATTTTGACGAGACAGTTTTCTCATCCCCTAAAGGTATGACAGTAATTTCAGACCTCTACCAAAATAGAAATGTGTTACCAGTGTAAAGGCCAGGGCCAAGAGGAGCATGTGAGGTGTTGTCAGCGAGAGCAGGCATTTACAGTGTTCAGGGGTGTGCATCCCTGAGCAGAGGTCTCTGAACACAGCTGTGACAGGATTCACAGTGCTGCAGCTGTGTTCCCCTGGCAGCTGGTGATCTGTGAAACTTGAAGGAGCTGGGCAGGAACTTCCCTGCCTTGGCTCTCTGACAGGGAATCCCAATTAAACTGTGAGTCACATTTGTGTTTCTTTGTTCCCTTGGACTTTCACCGCGTGTTTTGGTGAACCCCAAGTGTCTTACATGGTGTAAGGCTGCTTCAGATGGAAACAGGATCACAGCTGGGCTGTCATCCCAAAGCTTCCTCTTCCTGGGGATGAAGGATGCTATTCCCTCTGCTCCCCACTCCCCTTCAGAGGACTACAGTAAAGAAGGGTTTGCCAATGGGTATAAAAAGCTGAGGTTTTCGCATGCCTAAGAGGGTAAGGAAACATTTGTCCTTCAGTCTCTTGGCTGTGGAAAGCTCTTCCCTGCTCCAACTGTCTGCATGCCATTGGCATAAAGAGCTGCTGCAGAAATGGAGGAGTCTGTCTCCTCCAGGGCTGTGGGAGAGGAGGGAAGGCACTTTCCCAGGGTGGTGGGAGACAGGTAAGGGCAGCACAAAGAACTTTTGACAGTCTTTGTGGTAAATGGCATTTAAAATGACTGTGCACCCCTTGCCTCAGTACTCTTCTTTGCCAGGTCTGTTCTGGGCACGGGGCTCCCTATGCTTGGCTCTGTGAGGGTGGACAGGGAACAGCTGGGGAGAGGTTTTGTCTGGGATGCCAGCATGCTCTGTAGGAATCACACTTTCTCCCATGCACTGATCACACTTGTGGCACTTCTCAGGGGTTAAAGGAGAAGCCAGAATGAAAAGTGTCGGCCACCAGACACTTTTCTTTATTCCCTTGCAGCCACTGTGGGCTGGGCAGGGAAGCAGACTGCTCAGCCCTGGAGAAATAACCACAGTCACACATGTCTGTGGTGTGGGCTGGCTGCTCACTGAAGGCCCATGGTGAAGTCCACCTGGCTTAGCTCCAGCCAGGAATCACCAAGCTTGGGCCAGCTGGGTGCAGACCCCGGGGAGGTGTGAAATGAGGCTGGGAAAGCGGGGATGTGTTCTGCACTGGGTCTGCCTGCTTTCCCCCATAAAAAGTGCCTGTGTGGCTCTCACACAGCCTGGTGGGATGACAAATGCATTGTCTGTGGGGAATTCTGTTGCAGGGGGGAAGTCTGCTTGCAGCAGCACCAAATGTTGTATAAGGAAATTAAACTCCTTTACCTCCTTTGTGAAGTTCTTACTGAACTCTGACATCCGGTTGCATCTCTAATACTTCTGATTATGACTTTAGGGTGATTCTGTGAAGGACATGGAGGACAAGAGCACCAGCAAGAGGGGGTAAAATTTAGCAGCCTAGCACCACCACTCTGTGCTTGCCACTGGCCCAGAGGTTACAGCGGCCCTAAAAAAGCAGCCTGTGTGAAAACCAGGGGTATCCAGCATTCACTCACCATCTCCTTTGCTTTGCAGCACCTTGAGAATGACAAGGAAGATCTTCACCAACACCAGGGAGAGGTGGAGGCAGCAAAATGTCAACAGTGCCTTTGCCAAGCTGAGGAAGCTCATTCCCACCCACCCACCGGACAAAAAACTGAGCAAGAACGAGACGCTCCGCTTGGCCATGAGATACATCAACTTCCTCGTCAAGGTGCTGGGAGAGCCAGGCCTGCAGCAGACAGCAGTGGCAGCCCGGGGCAGCATCCAGGGGCTCTTCCCACACTTGCAGAGCATGGAAGAGCTGACCCTGATTGAAAACTGTGGTGTCTCCTGTCCTGGCATGAGCAGCAATATAGTAGAGTGTTGGTCAGAGGCATCATCCCCCTAGCAGACAATGAGATGTGCAAGTCTCGGTGTTAGTGTGATAGTCCCTCTCTCCTGGCAGAATCTGTGGGTTGCTCTTTGGTGTATTGTGATTATTTATTTGTATTTATTGCTATTTAATTTGCATTTTTATTGAATAGGGTAGGAAATACTTGGTCGTGCAAAAAACCTGGAAGTCCAGAGGGAGAACTTGTGATCTCTGGGAGCTTGGAAGGACTCGCTGCTGTCGTGGCAGAGTCCAGGCCAGGAAAGTCTTCTGTCCAGATCTCCTCCATAAATCAGGGCATAGAAATTCCTTCTCTTTCCTGACAGGGAAAGAGATTATTCTCCTATTCTATTTCAAGGAAACACTATTGAGATGAAGAATTATGACAGCACCACAAAATTTGTCCACAACAGATATCTGGCCTCAGTAGCGAAAGATTTTGATATTTGAGTTGTTCTAGGGCTAATTGCACTCTCTCTTGAACTTGTGGATCTTATTTCTAGCTTGATACTTTTTTTTTTTTTTCAATTTAAGTCCTAGCCCTTGAACCTAGCTACATATTTCTTCATCAGACTGGAGGGACCCCTGATGTCAGGGCAAAGCACATTAAGCAAAAATTAAATGTTAGGTTAAAGCAAAAAGTGCCAATTCAAAACGACAAAATCCATAGTCACAGATGAGTTTCAGTGGGTTCAATAGGCAAAGTAAATCTCCTCCATAGCAGTGACAGGTGCACAGGAAGGAAGATGGTCAGCTATACCCCAGCTGCCTTAAAAGCCCATCAAAGAGGTTGGTGACTCAATGCCTTTGTTGCTCCGTAGGATCTGTAGCAATGGGGGAGGTCCTTTTTGGGAGGGAGGTGCCAGGACAAAGCCCTCCGTGAAAACCTTTGTTGACAAAGCTGTGTCTATGGTTATGCATGCACATCTCACTGACTGCCCTTAAACTCCCCAAATTCACCTGCCCTAGCTGAGGTTCTCTCACCTGGATACCATCCCAAAGGGGCTGATGGAGCAAGGACAAAGAAATTGGTGTAAATATCTTCCATTTGTGAGTCACTGCCCTGTAGGAACCATCACGCTGTGGGTGTTTACATGATAAACTGCATGAAAGTGGCCACTGTGGGTTATTGCTGCCCACAAAAAAATCCAATCTAATTTCCTGACTTGAGTTATGACCTGTGCCAGACAAGGCCTGGTCTGCTCATGTGATTTATAAGCAGCCCAAAATAGCAGAGAAAATGACACCAGGTTTAAGCAGAATGGCTTTCTGGTGAGATCCTGCTCCCACTGACACAAGTGCCTCGTGATTTTCATGTGGGCCAAGGTACATGTCAAGGCTTAGAAAAGAAAATTGTTCATGACTGGTGAAGAAATGTAGCTCCTGTAGGCCAGGCATGTCCCTGGGCTGTTTCTGTTTGTTCATGAGACAAAGAGGTGCTTTCAGAAAGCAGAACTTGGGTTTGTGCATGCAGCATGCACGGCCTTTCTGCATGAGGGGATTTGGCACCTGAAGCTGAGCTGCCTTTCAAAGCCTCACCAAGCACCAGGTGCACCAAAGAAGCCAGGGCTGGCTCCTGCTGTGGGAATGTTGAGCTGTCCTCAGCCTTGACAGAAGCCAAGGACTGATAAGAACACAGTTCGCCCCATCCAGTGCTGGTGCTGGGAGGTTCAGGCATGCCAGTGGACAGATTTTGACCAAAAGAAAGAAAGAAAGAAAAAAGAAAGCTGGAACGATTCATGTTGATTTGGTTTCCCTTCTGAACACTTTGCTTGTCCCTGGGTTTGTGAGCTGCCAGGGTGGCCCTGGGGAGCAGCTGAGTGGAAAGGCACCAAGAGTCCTTTGTTGTTTGTTCCTCCCCACCTCTGCCCACCTTAATGTGAGTAAATGGAGCCACAGCCTCTTCTGCATGACACCTCCAAGGTAACGAGCCACATCCTCCTCCCAGCTTTCCGCTGGCTTGCTGGAGTTGCAGCAGGACAAATTAGTCCAAGTAAACCAGAGCACTCCCTGCTGAGTCGTGGTGGTGCTGTTGGGTCTATCAGTCACTTGCTATCCTAGGAAACACAAATCACCAAGGCGAGGAAAAACATCTTGTGAGCAGCTGTCATACCGGGAAGGGGAAAGGGAACCTGGCAATTTTGTAACATAACATGCTTGTTGTATTTTCTATGCTAAAAACCTTCCCTTCTTGTTATTGCTTCGGTTCATATCACCATTTCCTTTGATCTCCTTTCAGTTTAGGAGCTCCCTACTGTCACATTCAGCAAGTATTTCCCTAGATCTCTCTACCAAAGATTTCTTTTTTTTTGGTCAAGTTTCTTCTTCGTGTTTTGGGGATTTCTTATCTGCGTCATCATGAACAAATGCAGTGCAACTGATAACACTTTGTGCTATATGATGTTATTTAACACCTAATATATTCCAAATAAATTATTTAAGAAACTAATCTTTGTTGCTCTAAACTTCTCTAAAATTTCATTTCACATTTGCACTCAGTAGAGGATCTCAAAGACCTTAGGATGTGATTTCCAGCAGAGGATTTTTCTGCTGTCTGTTATGCAAGAGTCTTGGTGGTAGAAACAATATTATCAGATGATGAATAATGACAGGAATTCTTTGTTTATTTTGTAATTCCTTATGCTTTTAGTTCATAGTGTATTTATATCTATGTGCTAAGAAGATTTTGACGAGCCCTTGAAAGAGACAAATAACTAAAATTTCATTGCACAATGTTGTTATTTATCTCTTCCAAAAATTCACAATTCAAAAGATTTTAATCAACTTCATTTTAAAAAGCATATGACACTCTAAAGAATTAATGTGGAGTCCATTGTTATCTGGAGATGTTCAGATAGGCACAACCTAGAGATCCAAACAGGAGTCCAGGTTTGGATATAAAAAATTAATTCAAAGTTGAGGGGAGCGTAGGATGTAAAGCTGTTTCTTTCTGACAGCTGGTGAGAACAATCCAATCCCCAACCAAATCTGAGTCTTGGAGAGGGAGAGGAAGCACTAGGGTGACAGATGCAGAACTTGAGAGGAAGAGATGGGAAATCACTGGATCACGGGGACAGTTTCAGTTCCATGCTTGACTGCATATCTCACACCCCTGAGAGTGTTCTATGAACACCAAGAGAGGAATTTCTGCACAAAATGTGTGTCAGCAAAGCACAGTCTCAAGGAATTACATACAAAAGTCAAGAAATCAGTAAATGTGAGGTTCAAAATGTACTTATGTGTGATGTCCAGTATGTATTTATACCAAACAAGGCAATGTCATCTTAGAGAGAGCCCTCTGCTTCCAGGAGGTGATGTCAAATTAGTTTAAATGCTGAGGATTGTGTGGCAATCCCTCCTCTGGAAATGAGCATGGTACAGCCATGCCAACACAGTGCTGTGAGATAACGGGACCTTTGCCATGGAGATGTACCAAGTTATTTGGAGCTGGCTGAAAATGTCTCAGATGTGCTGCTGCAGTGGCAAAACCTTAGTACAAATGACAAAAATATCCCTAGTCCTAAGGACCCTGCTCTCCCCAGTTGTAACTAGCAGTGCTGAGTAGAGTTTTATGAACAGTATTTTTTTTTACTTTTATAATTTTTTTTTCTGTGAAGCTATGGATGTCAATATGCAAGGAAGACCAGCTAAGGTGGTATTTTCTAGAAGCATCCTCTCCAAGGATAAAAAAACGGAGTGCTGGAAAGTTAAAAGAATCATGGTTTGCTCCAACCTATGGTACCCCTATCTGAAGTGTGCTCCTGTGAATTTGTGATGCAGGAGCCTCAGTGAGACACTCCTTCACTTGGAATTTCTAACAGGATCAGTGGAACAATACAGCTCCACTTTTTAGCTCAAATGAGGATTACTTTCTCCAGAGGCAGGAAACAAGTTCTGCCACTGTTCACCTGTCACAGAGCCTAAGGGAGCTGACGCCCATCACGTCCACTTTCTCAACATCCCCGTTGTGGCTGTGGAACGTAATTGAAATTGGATATTTGGGGCCGTGTAAGGAAAGGAATGAGTTGCAAATGTATCCTGAAAGGATGCTGTAGTCTCCTGACGAATCCCAGTGAGGGCCAGCCTGTGGTTAGAGGAAGGCCAGGTCTGCAATCTGGGCTTTGGCTTGAGATTCTGTGGATTCAAATGCTGGTGGATGTGAACGTGCTGTGCCTGGCACTAGACAGTGCACAGTGAGATCCCACATGTGTTTCTGGAGTATTGCCCACGCTGAGGAAGACACTGTGGTGAGACTTGTAGTCAGCAGCCTTGTTTGAATGGGGGAATGAAGGAACAGTGAGCATCACAGAGGGGGACTCACAGGATTCCTGGGACAGCTACATTAAATGGCAAAGCAGAGTTGTTTCAGGACACTAAGATCCATCCCAGCACCTGATTCTAAACAAAAAGTAAAGGTGCAGCACCAATAAGTTTCTCAAGCATATGATTCATGAACAATTTAAGAACTTGTTTTCCAGTATTTAACCAGTTCTCACAAATTTCTTTGCTGCTAGGGAATGAAATGCAGTGAGCATGGCTAAAGTAGTGTGAGAAGGCAGATCTGACTTTTGTTCTTTGAAGGCTGGGTGATGAAAGGAGGTGGAGAGAATGGACGACTTAACTACTGACCTGTGGGGCAGGGGTCACTTGGGAGCCAGTCTTAAATCTAAAGGTCATTGACACAGTGACAGAGCCCAAATCTGCCACTTTTCAGGGGTGTAATTGTATTTTTAATACAGCAGGTGCTGAGAGAATCAGAGGGGAGAGGTGAGTGGAAGAAGCAGCTCAAAAAAGCACATGGGTTACAGAAGGTAGAGAGATTGCCCTGTGCCCAACCTATATCTGGTTGAATTTATTCAATTTTGTTCTCTCTGTAAGCCATGGGCAGCATTTTCTTTGCACTTTGAGTTGGTCCAATTCTTCTGTGTAAGGAACAGAGCCTCATCCCAATGTATCCTCACCCTGCTTCCTTTCCACACGTGCACACAAATGCACACCCCGTCCCTCCACAGGTTATT